GAAAAAAAGAGCTATTACATGGTATTGCCACATGTCAATCAAACGATTTTGCTTACCAGTTACAATGACTTGAAGGTAGTAAGGAACTTGGGCGCTGGAACCCTCTTCACGAATTAAGGCAATGTAGGTGTTTGAATCGTTGACATTTGCATTGGAAATACTGAACCATRCTCGACCTACTGCGAGGTTTCCATTATAATGAAGTCTCTTTTTTAGACTGGCGTCCAATGCAGGATTGATAACTGCAACCTCGGTATCATCGACATAGATATACTGTGGGTTAGCAGAGTTGCCACTACGAATACCCCAAACCGCTTCAAGAAGTTTTACACTGCTGGTCCATTGGAAAAATACGGTCTCGCCAACAAATGAACGCAAATGACCAGGGCTATTGATGACAACAGATTCTAAATAAAAACAATCATTGAAAACTCAAACATCCTTATTTAACGGGTAATTGCGCTTTATATTTAAGACTTGTTAAAAAATATGAGGACACGGTTTTGTTTTTAGATGCTAGTTGATATAACACATTCCATCTTAGACTGTTTAATTTCCTTAATAGGCAAACCCAAAACCGGTATARAAATATTCTCCAAAACTATTTATTAGAAATACTTGTAACTTAGAAAACGACAGGTTCATCTCACACCCAAAACTCAAAACCTTTCGAACAGTTACCTAATCTTGGTATATTCAACCTTCAAAACAACTACTTGATAATTTAGTTCGCATCCCTCATCAACTCAGGTGACAGTCGGTAATGACAGATCATCGCCAGGGGATTCCTTCACTAGGGCCGGCGAAAGCGGTGCTTGATCTTTCTGGCTGCAATACTGAGATACAGTGTATGACGTASAAACAAATTCCAAACCACATACTTTYCAAGACATTGAAAGAATATCTTTATAACTTGGCTACTAGCAGAAACTGCTAAGGACCACAAGGCAATCAATGTCAAATCCCTACGTTGTCTAAATGTGCACAACAATAAAACGTTAGCCTTAATCCGAACAAATAAAAGGGCGTGACACGTAAATTGAACTATTGTTGGCCTCGAACGGCAACGCCTCGAACACAGCTTACACATGTGAACCAACGAAAGGGGTGGCACCGCACGTGGAAAATGTCGACCACAAAAGCTCAACGATCAAGAAAACAAAATTGTTAATAAAATAAGCCAACTCCAATACTGACAGGTGAATAAGGAATTAAAAGAGAATCAACACAAACAAACATRCGCATTTTATTTCTTTCAAAAAATGAAGAGAATGGCCAGAAAGTACAAGCAAAATAAAATCTTATCCGCGGCCTCCAATGCGTAACTTTCAAAAAATTACTCTCGACCTCCGCCGAGTTAACATATCATTCTCCGGTCCACCACCAAGGAACCTATTCCAATCTTTACTCTCTACAAACACCGAGGATTGTATTCAAATCGGCCACTATGTAAGGCGTAAACTCTTCTCGAAAGATTTTGTTTGCATATTGTAGAACTGTTCAACTCTTCTGCGGTCATTAGGCCAACTTTATACTTCCAATATGGTAATGATTGTGATACCATTATAGGAACTAAGTTTATTTGTCATCATTTGTAAATTGACAGACATATTATTATTATTCGACAGAAAACAAATTGGAATTATACTTTCTATAAACCCTGAATAAGACATTGATATTTTATACAGGTTATTTTACTGTCCCGGAAAACTTTTAATTGTACAATTAAT